AATTTACATATGTTGTAATTCTACTTCTCTAAAGAAATCTTTTTTCATAATTCTCATTGCTTGGTCCTGACATGTTGGTGCAACTTCCCAAGCTCTAAAAAGGTTATTTTTAGTTAGTGGTGTGAGGTAAGAGCATGAATTCTGGTAGTTATGCAGTACCCCAGTGCGTAACCTTCCAATCAGTTCCTGATATGGCAGAAAGAGAAGACATCCCCAGGAAAACAGAATGGTTGACAAACGAATGCCTCAAAAAGGCAGAACAATAATCATCAAGGTGTATGATAAACGCTCTCTCTGAAGGGCTCCCCAACAAACTGTGAGGGGAAGTGAGCGACCAAAATTTCTGCATGAAAATACCTTCTAATTCTGCATTGAAGTTATGTAATTTTTCCCTTCTGTGAGCATTAGAGCTGATTGAAATGTTTTAACTGAAAACTCATTTCAATTTCAGTTTTACTTCAAAAACAAACTTTTTATGTGGGAAATTTTGAAAACAAAAACAAAAAAAGGTTGAAATTTCCCACAAAAAATAATTGGTATTTTCCAACCAGCTCTTCTAAAGTGGCCATCTGTAGTGGAGATTCGCTCCTGGAGGATAAGTAGTTCAGGGAGGGGGAGGAGGGTATGAGTTTCCCAAAGGTAAAAACATAATAAAATTGCAAGCAGTAACCAGGCTAAGGACAACAGTGTGAGTAGTAAAGCAGCATTGCTCCCCAAAGCATCAGGCTTAATATTTCAGTGGTCTGTAGGGCATGGGCAAAAATCAGAGCTTTAAAAATCTGGCCATAAAGGACATCCCAAAAAGACTCCAGGGGAGAGTTAAAATTCTGTTCTTGTGTAATTTACCTAGAATAGACTCTCAGCAATTGCTGTGGACAAATTCTGCTTTCCTCCCCTTCCTCCTCCCCCCACCCCCCTATATTTTTTGTTTCTTGTTCTCCTGGCCTTTTGCATTAATTTATTGTGATGGTTTCCAACACCCATTATGATAATTTTAATGCAAGAGATTGCACTGCAGTTAGCTTGCTATTTTTGTTGCAGCAACTGTGTCATTTCTGAAACCTGCTTGCTCTGGCTGACAATGTAGCACATACTGCAAGACCCATTTGAATCAACAGGAGCGAAAGGTGTAAGGTATTATATCCTCAAATAACTATTATGCCTGGATGAGTTTATTTTTATTATTATTTATTAAAGGTTATACAGAGACTCTACCCTCTCACTTGTAAATCCTGTACCATATGAGAATACAGATGAATTTGTGCTGTGCTGAGAATCAATGTAATCATGATAATTAGTAGTCAGTCTGCAACTCACTATGAGCCAAACAAAGGGATTTCCTTGGAGTAGCTATTCTCAAGAGAAAAACAAGTGTGTGCAAGAGAGGGCATATGCTATCCATGTTTCTGCATATCCTTGTTTCTTGCTACGTACAGTATGTGAGTTGCTATAATTTTAAGAGGGCTCTGTTGTTCAGAGACCTGCAGAGGTACTGCAGCCATAGTGTTACTGGTGGCTTTTTGTATAAGCATTGTTAAGACCTAGAAGCATGAGAAGAAGATAAAGATTCAGAACTGAGGCTGTACAAAACAATCCGTTTTTATCTTTTGTAGAAGATGTTACATTGAGAAGGGCTAAAATATATGTTAACTTTTTTTTTTTAACACAAATGTTGGAAGAGTAGAATAGATTGGGTTTGGAAACTATGTTTACCTTATACCTCCCAAAAAGGAAGAAAGGACGAGCTTATGGTTAACATACAGGATTGGATGTTAAGAGATACAGGTTCTGTACCTGGCTTTGCCACAGACTTCATGTGTGACTTAAGGCAAGCCACTTGAACTCTCTACTTCTGTTTCCTCAGTGCCTTACAGAGGTATTGTGAAGCTAACTAATTTTTGTAGAGTGCACTGAGATATAGCACTTTCCATCCAAGGATGTATAGAAAGTTTTAATAATAGTAAATTGCAACAAAATTTTGTCTTCCTACTACAGGTATTTGCATGTTTAGGTTAGGCCCCAATTTTGCAAAAGCTTAAGTACATGTTTAATTTTAAGCACGTGAATAGTCCAGTTGATTAGTTGGAACTCCTCACATGCTTACAGTTAAGCATGTCCATAAGTCTTTGCAGGATTGGGATATAAAACGGCAGCTAACAGATTTACAGGCTTGTAGAAATTAGAGAAGGAAAAGATAACACTGGGTAATCCTTTAGTCAAGTCTGCTCAGGGCCATCCCTAGCTATTGTGGGGCCCTACGCAGCCCCCCGTGGGGGGGGGTAGGGGAGGGCCAAGGCCTCCGCGGGGGGGCAGAGGTGGGAGGCCTGGGGAAGAGGCGGGGCAGGGGCTGGAGCAGCACGCAGCTGGGCAGGGCACCAGGAAATTTGGTGCCCCAAGTTTCCTGGTGCCCTAGGCAGCTGCGTACTTTGTGTATGGGTAAGGATGGCCCTGAGTCTGCTGCCCATACATGTTTATTTCTTGTCATACACAGTGTTTAGACAGTAAATGTGAACTGTTGTGCCAGTTCTTAAATACATCAATTTTCTTTCTAAACAACTGTGTTTGGTGTATTGAGTGAAAAACTAGAAAATGGATAATAAATCCATCGTACATATAAAAGAGCAAAAGCAATCTGGGGCCAAACTGACAGACATGCATGTGATTACTCCCATTAAAACCAATGGGGCCTACTCACCTTGGTAGAGTCACTCACATGAGTGTTTGCAGAATAAAGCTGGATAACGAACACCAGTTTTTAAAAAAATAGAAAGTGTACGTTAGGATTGTATATCTTCCAGGAAACAGCCACTGATTTTTTTTTTTTTTTTTAAGAAATAGAGTATATTTAAACACACACGCACCCCGGATGAAGAGCATTTTCCTTATCCAGTCATTCATTATCAAGCAACAAAATTAAATGAAATCTCAACATTTTTTGGTTGTCTGCCCCAGAATAACTAAGCAGCTTCCCCTCAAAATCTTTCTAGGACACCAGCTGCAAATAAGAATGAGCTTCCATATTTAATAAATTCTATTAACTACACACACATCCATGTCACATTATAGGTGAACAGGCCCTAATTAAAAGCACACACCATCTGCTGGTTTGTGGCAGCAGGGTAGCACTCCATAAGCACCCCTGGTTCCTGTGATTGAAATGTATTATTTATGAGCTCTTACAAAAATATGTCACTTACCTCATGGAAACTGCGTTAAGAGCTGGATGGCACCATCTAATGGTATGGTAGTGAAGCAGGTTGTTAATCTTTTTTCTTAAGAATATTCTCTTTGCTCTCTCTCTAGATATATATATTGGGGTGGAGGAAGGGGTTAATGATCAGATTTCCAACAGTTTTCATGTTGGACCTGAAGCTTGCTTTTCGCTTTTGTATGAGATGAAAAGTAATCTTTGAAAATATTAAGCTATTGGAGTGGTTTTCATTGTTTTTTTCTTTCTGAGCAAAATGTTTAAGTTTGAGATAAATATGTTTATTGGTGTGACAGGTTTCAGAGTAGCAGCCGTGTTAGTCTGTATCCGCAAAAAGAACCCGAAGAAGTGGGCTGTAGTCCACGAAAGCTTATGCTCTAATAAATTTGTTAGTCTCTAAGGTGCCACAAGTACTCCTGTTCTTTTTATTGGTGTGAGGCATTTTAAATGGTGATAGACAATAATAGTGTGAATTACTAAGATACCTGAAAAGGATCAGCATGCACCAAATACCTTTTATAAGCTGGCCTCTCATAAAAATATCTACTGTCAATTGGGAGTGTATTTTAACAAAAATGAAATCCATCTAGTGTTTGTTAAGGGATTCATTGCAGATTGTACCAAGATTATTTGTTGGCTTTTAAATAAGGAGAGAGAATTCTAATCTGTGTTTCTAATGGTCCTTGGGACCTAAAGTTTTGGACACTTTTCTATGTTGCCTTGCAAGGGTGGAGGCCACATCCTCTTTCCCACCTGTTAGTGGGACTAGGGGCACTGTTCCTCGAGTGGAAAGCAAAATGCACGCTGAGAAAAATAAAACACCTTTTTGAATGGCTGATTCAACAGCTCACCTTTGGTGACTTTCAGGTTACAAATTGATGTATGCAGTGGTTAGCATTGTGCCTGATGACCCTTGGAATGCCAGAACAAGAATCAGTGCACTGATTCAAATCACTCTTGTGGTTCATATGACAAGAAAAGAGATGATTGAAATATCCTTGTGCTCTGTAGCACTCATAACTAGCCTCCAGCAGAAGTAGTGCTATTGTGCTACTTCAGGCTTTTTCTTTGTAGTGCCAAGCAGTGCTGCATCTTAATAGCAGTAACAGGCAAAGCAATAATGATTGGACTTTTCTTGTGGCTACTCATATTGTTACAAGGAGACCTTTAGTATTAAAAAAAGTAAACAGTGAGCATGTAATAAGATCCTCCAGGTAGTTGTACTTAACTTTAAAGAAAACAGACAGACAAACAAACAAACAAAAACTGCCTTGGTGAAGAAAGTTTAGACAACATGGGGCTTTCTGTGTTTCTCTGTGGTGTTGTTAATGATTCTGTTTCCAGTGATGAAACCACCATCTTTCTTTCCACACATTAGGTAAGGGTGTGTAGAGGAGTAATTCTACAGTTTATTTGTGATTCCACAATATGTTTATAATCTACAATAACATTCCCAGTCTGTTGGCATAGAGAAATGTTTATACATCTCAGAGATGACGTAGACATGAAGAAAATTGAAGTATATGAGGCACAAAGTTCTTCCACATTAAGTTCTAGTAAAGCTGGTTCTACAGTTCAAGGCCCTGACCATTGCTTTATAGTATTTACTAGGGCATGATGGGATTTAACCTGAACAGAGAGAGAGAATATAAAGTTTGAAGCAGATAAATGGACGATTAGTGTGTACAGCTGTTTGTAAATATCCTCAACAGCATTTACTTCAGTAGCCAAACACTTTAAAAATTGTTTTGATGTCAAAACACTTACGGATGCTTTTTCTAATAATGTCTAGAACATATGCCATCAGAAGGATAAGAGATGCCTTCAGAGAAAACAAACATTTAAAGGATTCAGAAGAAATACAAACACTAGTGAATAAAGCAAGAACAAACCTAGAGATTATTCATCGGCAGGTAAGCATACTTTAGTTCATCTCTTTTACTTAAGAATTGTAAAATGCTGAATGACATGTTCTTCTCCCCTAAGGGTATAAGTCCCATGCCAGTTTACGGAATGGGGAGAGAGATCCTGTACAAGTATTATTGTTCACAAATGGTGGGGAGGCAGAGTGAGGGAGTGAGTGACTGGCACAGTATTCAGTTCTCCTTGATTGGAAGGATTTAAACATGAGTCCCATTAGTACTAATGGATTCTACATACTGTTCTCTAAACTCCTTTGCTGTCCCTCTTTTTTCTGCTCTTCAGTCCTCTGTTGCCATGTGTTTTGTCTTTGCTTTTCCCTGTGTTGTGTTTTCTCTTGCTCTATGTCCATCTCCTCATCCCTTCTTTTCTTCCTTCCCTCATCACTGGCATGTTAATATGCTCAGGGGAGTGCCAGTAGCTTAAGCTTTCTTTACTCTGTTTTTGCTCAATTTGAAGCACAGTCCAGTAGGGTGTAGAAACAGAAGCATATCCAATCTTAACATTTTTGAATAAGTTTGTGAAAATATTTTTTGCTTGTTTGCACCCCGGATATTATTGATTCCTGTCCACTGTGTTCACACCACTGTGCACAGGGCTAAGGAGGGTAGCAAGATGATTCTTTGGAACACACATCAAACTTAACTGATTAATTTTATACATAATGTTTTTTAAGAAGTTTTATCTTTAAGTTCCCCCTAGCCTCTTACTTCAGAAATGGAGCCTAGCTTAGCATTTTCTTTCAAGCCTCATGATTGTTTTACATTTGTTTACATTTTGTTGGCTTTCTTTGCAAGGAAAGGGGCTAGAAAGATTTTTATTTCACGCAAAAGCTGAGATTG